ATTTAAACTACAATATTTATTTCACAATCATTTTTTATCTTTTCAAAATTTTGCAAGAGAGAGAGATGGATACCATACCTGTTCTTATATAGCAATAAGCGAAGGTAATGCGTCTCTCTAAGAAAAATCTTCAATTAAAGCGCGAAATAATAATTACAATATATAAAAAGAAACCTTAATAGACCTAGCGTTATGCAAAGATAAGAGCAGTAAATCTTTACTCACACCTAGCGCAGACCAGACAAGAAAAAGACGTCAAATGAGGCAGGCGTAAACATGACCAGGTTAACGAAACACGTAACACTAAGATCACATTACACGAATATTCACAATAAATAACACAAGCGTTGCAGATTTTACAGAGAGCCACTGAAAGCAGGCAGCCTTTTGGGCATGGAGCGGTAATACACGGGAAAAGAGGGATGTCCTAATAGTGCTAAGTAGTATAATCGTAATGTAAAATCGAGACAATTAGCCACATTACCCAATTGAGGTCAGATAACGGCGGTAGCTCTGGAATTATAAGAACGCTGCTCTGTTGCCTAATAGAAACCTTCCGATTAATGACGGAAGTTAGATGCCACCCACGGCATCTCAGCTAGGTTTGTCCCTGATGACAACATAAACGGCTAAAAGTAAAGGTAAGGATGCACCTTAAAAAGTAAGTGTGTTGAGTAACAGTCGCCGAGGACCAGCAGATTACCGTAGTTCTATGTTCCACTAAACCGGCGAGTTAGTGTTAGAGTAGAAAATCGAAGACAGTTTGATTTGCAAAACCTTGCCGTCCTGAAACAAGTTGCATCTAAGGTGTCATTTATATCTTCATCAAACATCAACATTTCTAAATAAAATAAAACATGAAATCGGCGACCTCTCATTATCGGGCGGCGAGCAATAGAGGCGCAAGAATGCGCGTCGCTTGCCGCACTCGGCACTTCAAAGAGGAGCGGATGTAGCGCAGGGCAGAGGGCCGCCCCGCACGGATGTGAGGGCGCAACCTGAACTGCGGTGCCAAGGCCGGAATATATTCAGGCTTTATAGGGGACGTAGCCACGCTACAGTTCTAGTGCCTGATAAACAATTATTCCTTGAAACGCAGCAATTTGGTTCAATTACTCACTTTTCGCCAAATTATCAAATGGACTTGCACTCCAACTTTTAGTTGAGTAAAGTTCGAATAGAAAATAAATTACCCTCTACATTTTCAGGACTTTCCGAATACTGACAATTTTTACAGGTAAATAAATATATGATTTCAGTTTAGTTATGAGATGCCGTCGTGACTGAGATTGGAGAAATAGTCTATTGTTCAAGTGTGCAGATAATAATTGCTGATTACATTCATTGTTCGCGTCAAGCCTTCAACTTATATCTTCTGTGATTTTTTCTGAATTAACTTAGTCTTGGTTACGCTTCCAAAAACTCTCTGTCTCCTCTTAGGTTGTTTTTTAAAGAGAATTTTAATGGCCGACCTCCACACTTTCTGAGATGGATCGAAAGAATTTTATTGAAATTTATAAACTTGAAATATCGTCGTCACCAGTGACATAAATCGCAATAAAATATCGCAATACAACTATAAGAAGCGCACGATTCTTCCAAGGCCAATGGCAAAATGATGTTTCTCGAGGGGATAAATTAATTTAATGCATGGGCAATGTTAAGGAGTCGCGGTATATGCGGGGGAATTTCCGGTCACATGGCGGCCCTGTTTCAAGTTAGAAAACCATTGAGCCTTTGTTTTATGGTGCCCGGTATTGTACTTTTTTCCATTATTTTGCTTTTAAGGTTTTTACCATCTTAGGTGTTTGAAGCTGAGATTATTTAAACATTCATCGCAAAACCACCATATACAACATAAATCATCCGGCATCATTGTTGTAAAATAAAAGTACATCTATTGTTGAAAAAATTGTTGATCTAAGGCAGTCTCAAGCCAACCAAAAACATTGTTGGGCACTATTAAAATCTAATTTTTCCAGTAATCAAATGGATGCTGGAGATAACAGTTATTAATGCTTATAGCTAGCGTATTATCATGAACAGGTGAGTTGAATGTGATAACTTAAAATACTACAACAGATCAAATTATAATTAAGCAGCATAATAAAGTTTATATAAACTATTCTTAGCTCTACTTTGTTAACGAAACACGTAACACTAAGATCACATTACACGAATATTCACAATAAATAACACAAGCGTTGCAGATTTTACAGAGAGCCACTGAAAGCAGGCAGCCTTTTGGGCATGGAGCGGTAATACACGGGAAAAGAGGGATGTCCTAATAGTGCTAAGTAGTATAATCGTAATGTAAAATCGAGACAATTAGCCACATTACCCAATTGAGGTCAGATAACGGCGGTAGCTCTGGAATTATAAGAACGCTGCTCTGTTGCCTAATAGAAACGCTTTAATTAATGACGGAAGTTAGATGCCACCCACGGCATCTCAGCTAGGTTTGTCCCTGATGACAACATAAACGGCTAAAAGTAAAGGTAAGGATGCACCTTAAAAAGTAAGTGTGTTGAGTAACAGTCGCCGAGGACCAGCAGATTACCGTACTTCTATGTTCCACTAAACCTGCGAGTTGTTAGTGTTAGAGTAGAAAATCGAAGACAGTTTGATTTGCAAAACCTTGCCGTCCTGAAACAAGTTGCATCTAAAATGTCATTTATATCTTCATCAAACATCAACATTTCTAAATAAAATAAAACATGAAATCGGCGACCTCTCATTATCGGGCGGCGAGCAATAGAGGCGCAAGAATGCGCGTCGCTTGCCGCACTCGGCACTTCAAAGAGGAGCGGATGTAGCGCAGGGCAGAGGGCCGCCCCGCACGGATGTGAGGGCGCAACCTGAACTGCGGTGCCAAGGCCGGAATATGTTCAGGCTTTGTAGGGGACGTAGCCACGCTACAGTTCTAGTGCCTGATAAACAATTATTCCTTGAAACGCAGCAATTTGGTTCAATTACTCACTTTTCGCCAAATTATCAAATGGACTTGCACTCCAACTTTTAGTTGAGTAAAGTTCGAATAGAAAATAAATTACCCTCTACATTTTCAGGACTTTCCGAATACTGACAATTTTTACAGGTAAATAAATATATGATTTCAGTTTAGTTATGAGATGCCGTCGTGACTGAGATTGGAGAAATAGTCTATTGTTCAAGTGTGCAGATAATAATTGCTGATTACATTCATTGTTCGCGTCAAGCCTTCAACTTATATCTTCTGTGATTTTTTCTGAATTAACTTAGTCTTGGTTACGCTTCCAAAAACTCTCTGTCTCCTCTTAGGTTGTTTTTTAAAGAGAATTTTAATGGCCGACCTCCACACTTTCTGAGATGGATCGAAAGAATTTTATTGAAATTTACCAACTTGAAATATCGCCGTCATCAGTGACATAAATCGCAATAAAATATCGCAATACAACTATAAGAAGCGCACGATTCTTCCAAGGCCAATGGCAAAATGATGTTTCTCGAGGGGATAAATTAATTTAATGCATGGGCAATGTTAAGGAGTCGCGGTATATGCGGGGGAATTTCCGGTCACATGGCGGCCCTGTTTCAAGTTAGAAAACCATTGAGCCTTTGTTTTATGGTGCCCGGTATTGTACTTTTTTCCATTATTTTGCTTTTAAGGTTTTTACCATCTTAGGTGTTTGAAGCTGAGATTATTTAAACATTCATCGCAAAACATTCATCGCCATATACAATATAAATCATCCGGCATCATTGTTGTAAAATAAAAGTACATCTATTGTTGAAAAAATTGTTGATCTAAGGCAGTCTCAAGCCAACCAAGAACATTGTTAGGCACTATTAAAATCTAATTTTTCCAGTAATCAAATGGATGCTGGAGAGAACAGTTATTAATGCTTACAGCTAGCGTATTATCGTGAACAGGTGAGTTGAATGTGATAACTTAAAATACTACAACAGATCAAATTATAATTAAGCAGCATAATAAAGTTTATATAAACTATTCTTAGCTCTACTTCCGGGTAGAGCAGCCCTGTAAACTTCAAATACTACAAATCCAACAATGGCCAGCATGAAGCCACTTATGAACTCGGAGCAAACTGTCGCAATGGCCAAGGTACAGAGAATGACAACACTTAGCAACGCGGTGGGGACTGAAACAACTTGGACAGAGAAACGTGAAGGTTGTTTGCACGAGAGAGAGCTTCTTGTTTGTCCTGAGGGACATGACAGCGCGTTAAGGGATTCAGACATTTGCGGGACCATGGCTCGCCGGACTCCCTGAACACACAACGAACGAAAACTTGGTGTGGCTTTGCAAAAGTTTCAAAAGAGAATTATTTGTATTATAATGTTAGCCAAATTTAATTTTGGGATTTTTTTTGTACAAATTCTAGCTTAATTTTTTCATCAAATCAAAAAGCTTTCGTGAGAAGATTTTCACAAGAAAAAAATCATTATTTAGGACAAAATTTCCGTTGTTAGGTAGTTTGTGGTGAACTATACGGATTTTTACTATTCTATAAAATAGAAAAGGTTTAATTCAGGTGAAAATTATTCAGCTAATATTTGTATTTCAGAAGCCTGTCTTTAGCACCATCGTCATCATCACTATTCGAATTACACTGTGACCAATCAAATAAATGTTGAAACATGCGAATTTAGTTCAATTTCGGGGTAATATTTATCGCCAAATGTGATTATTTGCAGACGCAGAGTGATTAAGATTTAAATTCAAGTGGGTAATATTTCTCTGAGGAAGAAACGCTAACTTTTTTCTATTATGGGGACAGCGGATTAAAACCAATTTGATAATTTTATGAGTCAAACTTTATGAGTTAACACTTGAGTCAAATCTATGGAGCTTTAAGCTTACCAAATAACCGAGTAGAATTCACAAGCAATGTTAACGTGTCGCAAGGCACAATCACAAATTATTTGAATAGAAATTTTCTTTGTGATAAAAAATTACGCATGGAAGAGGATTTCACTATAAGTATAGGAGCACTCACCCTTCGTTATCTGCGAGTAGTTCTCGATGACTCGTTCGGCAGATCTCTTGGCGTCCAAGAAGAAATCAGAGCCGTTGGCTAGGTAAAAATATTGCACAGCTAAATCTTTAACCAATATATGGCCGTCTGGAAGTCGATGGGCAAAAGGACAGTACAATTCATAGCCTGGATACTCGTAAAGGTCGTAACAGTTACCGGCGGCAAAAATATCCTCATCGAACTCAGTTAAAGTCAGAACTTCAGCTTGCAGCAAGTACTTTGAAGCCAAAACTTGGTCTCGTGAATACTTCCATAGTCTAGTATACAGGTTTGCTCGGTTAACTGTCACCTCAGCTTCGAGTCGGAAGCGCTCTTGGGCGTATCGGTCGACCACTCCTTCACCAAGTTTTGCCTGGGTTCCTTTTGAACAATTCGTATTCATTGACTGGGATTCAATCATGCGCAGAAACTTCGTGACGACATCCACGGAATCATTTTCGTCATCATCCACCAGGTCTGGATTCTCAATTTCAAAGGAAAGCATTTTCTCAGAGTCATCATCTTCGAGAGATGCAAGACCGATCGTAGAATCTCCGGCAGTGTCATTTTCACGATCCCAACTTTGCGCCTCAAGCAAAAGTTTCTCAGGAGTTATTAACAAAATTCCGTTGTCGACGGCCGTTGCCAAAGATGATGGATTAGGTGCAGAAAATCTCTCAAAGTCATCATGCTCCTGAAAAGTTGAAGACAGAACTTTCATGACGGAATGCTCAGGATGCATTAACGAAGAAAAATTGCCGCCATAAACATGAGGATGCGGTCGAGTTACAGGAGATTTCCTCGTTCGCACAAAAGTTTTTCTAGACTTTCGATGCCTGATGGAAGACATCCTGGACCCCTCATTTGCTAATATATTATTGTCTTCCTCCAGTTCATCAATAGAAGATACCTTAGGAAAATCTAGTGATTTGGGTGCATCCTCAAGTCTCGATTGCCGACGACCAATCCATTTAGGAATTTTCCCGGTTGAGCCATCAAACAGTTCGCCAGAAACTGACAGAGAAGTAGATCTGTTTGGATATTTTTGACTGAATGTAAAGCCCATAGTCTCTTTGTGAACTGAGTGCGCTTTAATAGGAGGTCGTGCATTGATTTCTACATCACGTCCAATCAATGTTCTGTCTGATTCAAGAGTATTCTTCAGCGGCATGAACAGTTTTCGAGCTGGTAAATCTAACGTAGGATGGTTGTCTTCTTTAGGGCTTGGTAGGGATGTGAGTGACTCCTTGGCTAAATTATGCTGTTTTCTGAAAGAAGAAAGGAGATATTCGACTGATAATTCTCTTGAATTTCTATGGTCACTTCTCACTGTTTTAATTTTCGTGCTGTGAGTTTTCGATGACAAATGTTGCCAAGCTTCATTGCCTGCTCGTTCGCCTGCCGACTTTTTCACTTCATTCCGATTTCGCTCATCTGAAAAAGGTCTTTCTTCAGTATGGTGAACCTCTTCTACCGGACTACTCCTCGCCTTCACCTGCCACTGTCCCACTGACATTTCTTTCGCATTTTGCCATGGCGCATGTGTGTTGTCGCGAACCTTATCATGACCTTTCGCAGAGAGTGGATTCAATTTTTCAAGTATAGGCAGCCTAACATCTGAGGTAACCTCCGTGGCGCCTCTTGACTCAAGATTTTCTTGTTGACCAATTTCCTGGAATTGAATCATGTCACTTGCCCGCGGGTTTCCTGACTCCACAATTTCTAGGTTCTCAGTAAAATCACCCGTGTCCCCAGTGTTGGGCAGGACAGGGTGATGGAGGTCGGGGCTCAGTGTCCTCCATGCAGAACAACGTGGCTTGGTTGTGAGCAGAAAAAGGATCCACCAAGTGAGCATCGCGTCAACGAAATTAATATATTATCCATAGGCATTCATAACGGCGTACCGTTCCTCTCAAGGTATCTTAACTTCAAACTTTGAACAGACGACAGCATTAAAGTTTAATTTCCGAAATTCAAATGTAGATTCAGATTGACACATCTTTTTAATATGTTCACTGTGATGAAAGAATTGCGATTTCAAACGTAAGTAAGACTAATATGGAGGATAACAAATTTACTCCTCACCATCATCGAACTTTCTGTGAACAATCGATAAATTTATCAGTAATATTAAACTTATATCATTAATCAGCATGTAATTAGTGATAATTTTAACTGCCGTCAATTAGGTAATTTTCTACAGAATTTTGATAAATTTTATGAGCTAATCATTAATTTGGTCGCATTGTAACCAATTATTTACAATTGATTAAAAATATACTAAAAAATAACCGTGCATGCAATCTTTAACACAAGTAAAGGTGCTGGACAGAAATTAGGAAGTTTCCTGCCTGTCTTATTAACTTAATAAAAGAGACTCAGAATTATACAGAACTCTAAAGTATATAACTTGATAGTTGAGTCCCCAAATTATACAGCAATCTACTGAATCTACTGGAAAAAGGTCCAGAATTATACAGCACTCTACTGGCAAATGAAATTTATAAAGGAGATCCAAAATAATGTAGCACTCGGCTGGCATATAAAATTACTAATGCAGGTCGTAACTGAAGGATATTGTTCGACGGTATATTGGTAAACATTAAAATCTGTGCTGGGTTGACTTTTTGCCTTCTCTATATATGAAGAAATGTATTCAACTCATTTTTTATTTAATCTTTACAGGTTGTACCACGGGATACCCTCGTGTTATATTTATTAACATTAGAAGTCATGAAGCCATCTTCGATGCAGCACCATATAACTTTTCTTACTTATCAGAGACGTTCTGCCCTGACGACAGAATTTGCCTTTCCATTGTACACTATTAAAAATATTTAATCGGTGCCGTTTTATGTCTAATGATCTATTGACAAATTTCATGTTCATAATTACATGAGACAACTTCTTCACATGTTCACCACTTGAACTGAACTCTTAATTCTGTCGAAATTCGACACTAGAACCAAAAAGCCACTGAAAAATGCAACGGGAACTTCTCACGAAGAAATGCCATCAGCGTTGCATGCCTCGCTATCAGTGTGCGCCGATACTCCTGCCTCACTGACAGCCTCCACCAGAGGCTGCCTCACGAACTGCTTCTAGCTTCGTGGCGCAGCGCAGACTGCGGGCGCTCTGTCTCATTGAGGTCTGTATGAGAGCGACTGCCAGACGCCTCGCTACGTTGTTGTCCTGTACAGGTAAGCCAAAGTACAACAACGGGCATGATATGTTCGCTTAAGCTCACAATTTTTAATGGATGTTATTCTTCCTTAACAACCGTGCATAAAAAATTAGGCAATTTTTAATTTCAAATTTTGTCTTCGACTAACTATAATTAAAGCTATGCAATACAAACTATAATTAAAGTTTTTTATTAAAATTTAAAGTGGCTAACAACATTTAACGATTCAGGCATATAAAAATAATGAGTGCAAAATACAATTAATTTAATCTGAAATTTTTATTCAGAATTATCATCTAAATATTTTATTATATTATTTTATCTCCACTAGAATCATAAAATTTCTGCGAAGGAATTAACGTTAAATTCGCGGGACCTCGGCCATAACTCCACGGTGCCTGACATCCACGTTTAATTTACTACCCGGCATTGCCGACACAGTCTTTCACAGATGGCGGATCTCTTTGCCGAAATTTGAATCCTGAGATTAGCTTATGGCTTAATAATTTAAGCTTGAATACCAAGAAGCCAATTATAATTATCAGATATCAGTAGATCAGTTGTCAGACGCTGAGTGCTACGAGATATTTATATTATATATCTTAGTGATAATTGCCTCCACGTTATGGAATATTTTGAAGTGACCAGCTAAGATAATAAATCTAATAATATAAACTGAGCAAAGATGCTCTTAAATGTACATGCAACTGTGCAACTATGAATCGTTCTTGAAACGGTACAAGGTAATACGTTGACGCATCACGAGGAAAAGATTCCAAGTAAAATGCGATGGAAATAATTTCATTCGCGTCCGGCGCTGATGTCAGGCGGTAATCTTTGTGCAAGGAGCACCAACTTCTGATATTAAAATAAACGTTTAATATTAAATAATGTACTGTAGAAGATGCTACTTGTTCACTCAAGTGCATTGTTCTAAATTTATATTCTTATGATAACATATATAATTATTCTTTAATAACCCTAAAATATGCTTTATAATGTAGTTGATATTATTTTTTATTCAATTGCATTTCACTCAATTTCTATTCTGAAGATCAATGTACAGGTTAATATTTGGGAATAATTACATTAGAGCTACGCTGCTGCACGCACTCCATAAATAAACATCTGATATATATTCCCCACACATTTATCAGTTCCTGCTTTAGCCTTAATTAAACAGGCTCTAAACTCACGTGGAATATATGTAAAAAGAAGTAAATAGCAAATATAATAATTTATTTTTTGTATTTGAAAAGAAATTGATATACATGAAATCGGTGCATGTGCTGCTGCATATTTGCAATGTACATGATAACTATAAATGAAACAATAAATGAATAAATCTTATCTCTGTCAGATATAAACATTGGCAGAACAAATTATTCGCTCCCTGTACAATAAGAAGCAGAATTAGAAAAATATATATTAACCAAATCGGTTAACTTATCGCTTAAATATATGATCAAGTCATTCGATGGACATCTTACTTGCTTATATGACAATAGAGATGATTGAAAATTCAGAGTGTATTTCTGTTCACTGCATTAATTCCTGAGTAAATTTCCCACTCTGTGTTCGGTATTTTGTGCGTCTAAAGATTGTATTGTCAAGAATTAGCAGAAAGAAACTTTAGGAACAACTAAGAGCTCGATGATTTAGAGCGAATATCTTGTGTTGTGAGAAATAAATAAATTTTTAGACCAAAATTTTTTTTTTAAATATGACAAAAATTTTGTTTTGGTTTAAAAATTTGACGAAATAATCTGTCGTTTATTGCAAATGTATGAAATGGTAGCTAATTTTTAATTAGATCGCATCAATATTGCCAGTAGTAACATATTTTTATAAAATATTTATCATAAAATCTTGGAAAATATCCAAGAACAGAAACTCTATATTCCTCGTAAGTCCATGTACAGTTCATCAGGCCGTCAAATCCGTAATCAGATACGCAAGCAACGGGCCAAGGTGAACGTGAACACGACCAACAGGATCAGCCCAGCTCTCAGGGCAACTACATAGCAGAATCAAACTTTGAAAGCTCCTTCTGAAGTGCTGCAGCTGCTGCAATTACACGTTCCATTGCTCGAATTGAGCGTTTCTCATTTGATGAGATGCCTACAACTTCCCGCTGTAGTTAATTGCACAGAGCCGTGAACGAGAGGGATAATTTCGATAAGGAGATTTGGAAAAGCTGAAATTAAGCGCATGATGCTGGGCATGTTCTCTGTTTGCAATGTTTTAAATAAGTATTATTCAGTCCAATTTGCATTCATTCAAAAATATGTATTCTTCATGAGCATTTCTTCTCGAGAGCCTGTACTATATAAGTGAACGCTTGGCAAACTAAAACACCGATAAGCTCAGATAACCTTCCAAGTAACGTGCTTGAAGTTCTCTCACGTCGCGCTATTGTTTAGATATACACATTAAAGGAAATTGTGCCGTGTAATCTGTGAATCCATTCGGCCTGGCGAGGTGCTTTCATTCGTATTCTACTCTGCCCACAACCCTCGTGTGTTGCCACTAGAGTTGTAATGCACGAAAAGTTACCTTTCGAGAGGAAGAATCAAGAGAAATACCTAATGCATATGTAATGCTGCAACAAAGGCCAAAGTTCAGTAATACGTACTGCTGAAAATTCCATTTAAGTGGCAATGCTAAAAATTCTTCATCCTTTTTCCAGTATTTCGATGCATGCCGGCTCGGGCTCTAGTGTGTACGAGTGCCTTTTTTTATTCGCAGCCTCACTCCTCTTTGTGAATAATAATAATATTTTTTTACTGGCTTTAAAAATTTGAAATATATATTAAGCTCATGAACTAGATACACACATTTTTCCTAAATTATTTGAAAAATTCTCCACTCATTCATCTAACAATTTATATCAGTTTTTTTTGCTTTGTTAATTTATCAACCATAAATTTCTAATAAATTTATAAACAAATGATCAGGCATCATTCTAACTTTTATAATATTCTCATCCTTTAAATGGATTTTTCATGCATTTTCGGTACATTTCACCTAATTCATTTTATACATGAAGTATTTTCCACATATCTTCCAAAAATTTTCTGAATATTTTTCAAACATTTCCATTTCAGTTTTCGGAAATTTTCCGTCCATTTTTATTGCACGTTCAAAACATTTTACACTTCTTTTTCATTTTATCAATTTTTCGCTTTTCACTCATTTATATTTATTTATACACTGTTATACCAATATCAATATACAACTAATAGGCAATTCAAACTTTATTCATATTAGAAAAAAAATTCGTTTCATGCAGTTTGATTGAAAAATTGAAATTTCGTGCAAATTGGATAACAGGAACTTGATCTAGTATCGAGTTGATAGACAATTGAAAGATAGATAGTTTTTCGATCACTCGTAGGCAATACACAACCATATGTGTCTCGTTTCAATACCTCATGAAAATCATGTCGAAATTTACTTATTCATTAAAGAACGTTCCAATAAATGAGAACGTCTGAAAATAACCCAAATATAAAAAAAAATCGAGGATATCTCAAAGATTAAAGCCAGCAGCCGCGCTAAATATTCAGATCGAATCACCATCACATCTACCACATCAAAATCTAAGTTGCTTGAGTAAATAGAAAGTCTGAGAAGTCTGTCAGTCATGCAGGGCACTTTTGCGAATTGCTATCAGGCAGACACCAAAATTTCGCAGAAAATTCGCTGAAAAATTTTCAGGCTTTTCAAATCTTAGCTCAATGTTATCGCAGCACTTTCGAAGCGGTCAAGTAAATTTGAAAATAAGTCATGAAGTAAGTCGGATCTGTGAGTTCTTGTTCTAGAAATGCAAGAAAAAATCGTTTATGAGATCGACCGCAGC